TGATTTATGAGAATCTACCACCACTACATATCTTCAGTTATGTGTCTTCCTTGTTACACTCCAGACCGTGCTAACTTCACCAATCGCAGTTCCTCAATTGAATATGATCTAACCATGAAACAAGCAACTCATGGGATTCCCGATCAACTTCGACCTATTATTATCCCGCGTATTTTTACTGAAATGTACCAACACGTCAATTGCGTGAACAGATATTTTACAGACGGGTCTCGTCTCAGTGGATCGACTGGCTTCGGTGTCTTCAATGAAAACTCTAGCGCCTTCCGCAAACTCTAGGAACCTTGTTCCGTTTTTGTTGCTGAGCTGGCAGCAATCAACTTCGCATTGGGGATAGTTTCCAACATGCCCGCAGACTTCATCTTCTCGGATAGTCTCAGTTCGATCGACACTCAAAAAATTCCACACGTTTGATCGAAGTGTTTATACACTTGATTTTTTAAATGCACAATCACATTTACTTTAATTGTATTTCACCTTGGTTCAATGTGTCATACACGTTAATTTATAGTGTTTCAAACTTTGAAATGTTGAAAATCTTTCACTATCTATTCAAGTGTATTGCACATTGAATCACACTACTGTTCAAAACAAATGGATTTAAAGTGTTTTGCATTTCAATGCGATAAGAATTGCTTGCTCAGAAAGGTAAACATCGAAAACAAGACTTGTGACTTTATCCTATCAGTACAGTGAGATCGAACGAAGACTCCGGCAGCAGCACACTCCAACAGTCTTCTCTTATTTCTCGCATCTACTTACATCGCGCATCATCTTTTTGCAGGAAAGCTTCAGAATCGTCATCAATCCTCTTTCTATCTACTCAGCGTACGCGCAGCTAGCCACAGCAAACCACAATCTTTCCTGCGTCGTAGATAGAGTCGTTCCCCTCGAATTTTGTCATGTATTCAATCGAAAATCCCCAGACAAAATGCAAACTAAAAGTGCCAGCTCATCCTACAACCAAATGAACTAAAACTTTCAGATAATGGTTTTCTCAGCTAAAGGCACCAATCTAAAGGTTGGCCCGTTGAAAATTAGAACTTTTATTTTTGTGGGCCAGTCTTTTCGACATTGATTGGATTGTACCAAGCGTTACTACCATCAGCTGTTTGACGATCGTGATTGTGATAAAAGGTGATACGGTCAAAATTTGGTCAAGGGAAAACGCGTGTAAATCGGTGAAATCGTTTATTTAAAAAATCAAATTAAATTTCTTTTTCAAGTTCAATTAGTATAAAATTCAGGAAAAATATTCAGTAAGGCTTCCGCTTTTCCAAATCCGAATTGCCGGGCCTTACGCTTGACCCCTGCCATCAGATTTTGTACAGCCACCTTGTCCACCTTCTTCGCCGCAGAAAGCCAGTTTGCCTTGAACTGCTGCTCGCCCTTAGCAGTTTTTTGGTCTTCTTTAGGTTCCGCTTGACAATAGCCCAGTATTTCTCAATTGGGCGGAGCTCTGGCGTGTTGGGAGGGTTCTTGTCCTTGGGAACCACCTGCACGTTGTTGGCGGCGTACCACTCCATGGCCTTTTTACCGTAATGGCAAGATGCCGAATCTGGCCAAAACAGTACGGAACAACCGTGTTTCTTCAGGAAAGTCAGCAGACGTTTATTCAAACACTCTTTCACGTAAATTTCTTGGTTGACAGTCCCGGAAGCTATGAAAATGCTGCTTTTCAAGCCACAGGTACAGATGGCTTGCCAAACCAGATATTTCTTTGCGAACTTTGACAGTTTCATGTGCTTGAAAACATATGCTACCTTTCCCCTTCCTTTTGCCGTATAAACTCCTGTCCCGGAAGCTGCTTGTAGTCGGCTTTGACGTAGGTTTCGTCGTCCATTACCACGCAGTCAAACTTCGTCAGCATCGTCGTGTACTGCCTCCGGGATCGCGCTTTGGCCGTCGTATTTTGTTTATCATCGCGATTTGGAGTCACTACCTTCTTGTAAGTCGATAGTCCGGCTCGTTATTTGGCTCGATGCACGGTTGTAGACGATACACCCAGCTTATTTGCGGCATCTCGGAGAGAGAGGTTAGGGTTTCGCTTGAAACTACCGGCAACTCTCTTTGTCGTCTCAGCGGCTTCCGGTTTTCGATTTCCCCCCGATCCAGACTTCCTGGCTGTCGACAAACGTTCCCCAAACACTTTAATTACATTTGTAACGGTTGATTTGGCAACTTTTAGCGATTTTGCCAACTTTGCGTGCGAGTAGCTCGGATTTTCGCGATGCGCGAGCAAAATTTTGATACGCTGCTCTTCTTGCTTGGACGGCATTTTGACAACTGAAGAGTGAATTCCAAAATCAAAATAGGAGCAACATTCTACACACACACACCTTCAAAATGAGGGGTGTTCAGGTTTTTTAAATGCAAAATTGAAAGAAATACGTCAAGTTGATATTGACCAAATTTTGACCGTATCACCCTTTAGTAGGGTGTTTCATTCTGGAAAAAATATTGATATTTTTGATAGGCCACCCCCTAGTTCAGTTCATAACACAAAAACAAACATCTGCCCGAGTAGCACATTTCCGTCACAATAAGTTGCAGCAACTTGTTTATGACTGATATTAGTTGTATAGTTGTTGCCACCACCCATATGTGACAAGCGTGCTACTAGTGTGTGCAAAGAATCAGCTAAATTGGTCAACGTTAAGAGGTCGCGCCAACGATTTCAATTCTGTTCGGGATTTTCGTCAAATTTGTATGGGAGAAAATGATGACCCACTAAAATCATTCTAATTTTTTTTTCTTAATAAACTGATTTGCATGAAATTAAAATATGTTTACTTAAAACTATAATAAACAACTTTGTTGAAGACTGCAAGTCGATTTGATGCTCCAGAAAACAGAAATTGGCTTTCGGAACTCAGATTGCAGATAAACCTTGATTTGAACAGAAAAGCAGGTATGCTGATAGGGCATATTTCATAGTATTAATATTTGAATTAGAGCTGGGACTATCCGGATACTTCAGTTTTTACAATAGACTTACTTTCCGACAAATGAAATATCGTTGAATTGATTTTCAGTTTACAGAATATCATGCTTTCTAGTGCCCAATATTGAAATAAAATTAATTGAGAAAACGTTGAGATGGTTATCATGAGGATAGTAACTATCCGGATATCCGAATAGTGAAAATTTAAATTTATTCTCCCTTTAACAATTTTCTTTTCTACACCCAACCAGTGGATGTAAGATTCGCTTACAATTATGTGAGATTCATCATCAGAGGATGTAAGTGGAGACCGCATGAACAGAGGATGCGATATACCTAGCTGTGGTCCAATGCAAGAAAATTGGAGACCGAAAAATGGTAAATTTATTATGTCGAAAAAATAGGAAAAAGGTTGCCGACTGGACTCGAACCATGAACGTTTCGATTATCAGACCTGTGCTTTCTCCACTGCTCTCTCCATGCTTCTGAATAAGGATAGCCTAAAAGCAAACAAGAAGCGTTCCTTTCCTCTCACACTCGACTTCGTATGCTTTTTCAGCTGGAGAGATTCGCGGCAAGGGTGTGTGTCGTTCTACCATGTTATACATAAAAATCAAGGCAAATGCTTGCTTGTGTAGGTGAAAGCACAGACAGAACACGAAATAAAAAAGGCAAAAAACCATTACATCGCCTGTAAGGTCAACTTCTAACATTCGCTGCGATGTTCATGAACAGAGGATGATAGGAAATGGAACTAACATTAATTGTTATAGATTTTTGGTTTGCGTGTACACCCAACCGAGGGATGTAAGATTCTCTTACAATTATGTGGGATTCATCATCAGAGGATGTTAGTGGAGACCGCATGAACCGCGGATGCGATATACCTAGCTGCGGTCCAATGCAAGAAAATTGGAGACCGAAAAATGTAGAGTGTATTAGTGAGGTAAATTAGTTATGTCGAAAAAAATAGGAAACAGACTGCCGACTGGACTCGAACCACGAACGTTTCGATTATCAGACTTGTGCTTTCTCCACTGCTCTCTCCATGCTTCTGAATATGGATAGCCTAAAAGCAAACATGAAGCGCTCATTGCCTCGCATACTCGACTTCGTATGCTTTTTCTGCTGAAGAGATTCGAGGCAAGTGTGTGCGTGGTTCTACAATGTTCTACAATGTGCGTCGTTCTACAAGCTTACTGGTATAGTCGAAAGCGTAGATAGAACACGAAATAAAAAAGACAAAAAACCATTACATCGCCTGCATGGTCAATTTCTAACATTCGTTGCGATGTTCATGAACAGAGGATGATAGGAAACGGAACTAACATTCATTGTAATAGATTTTTGGTTTGCATGTACTGTTCTAAATATTTGTCAAAAAGTTGGTTCTAGGTTGCCCATGTGACCTGATGTGGAATGGCAGATCTGTTAATTGCCAAAATTTAATAACATTGAAAAATAAAAATATCCGGATACTCGAAGTCCCAGCACTAATTTGAATCAACACCAATGAATTTTTACACTTAAAGTCCGAGCGTGTCCGTGCAGCGAGCATTTCTCACTTCATTAACAAATAAGTTTATTACTATAATTAAAATCTACTTTTTTACGTATCTATAACAAGCTTAAACTCTATTCTATCGACTGCTTCAGAAATAACTAATTTTCGTCAACTGCATGCCCAAGATTGGTGTGCGGAGTTACCAACCCCTTGTATGGTATACACATATTTTGAATCGGAGTAAGAGGTGGGACCTTCATCATCATCATCAGTTACAGTCGTTACAGTTTATATAACTGTATCCCTTAGGTTAGAGGGTGATATATAATAAAAAAAACGCGGGCGCCCTAGTATTTTTAATGTTCTTCCTTAGAAATCGGGAAATGAAGCAATCTTATCACAAACTCACATAAATGCTTATCGTTCAAGATACACAAATTGATGCAATTGGCGAAATTTAAAATCCCTTATCAATAAACACTGTTAGCATCGCAAAGTGATAACGAGATCATTGCATTAGTATATGCCTGGATTAGTCCTATAAAAAGGCATAGTAATTTCACCCGCGGTACCATACACCTGCTCAAGTGAGTGAAGTGAGCTCGAAAATCCTAGCCACAACATGAAACTTCTGGTACTTCTTGGATTTTTGGCTGTGGCCGTAAGTATCTTTCATATTTCCTAAGCAGTGAATTTATTAATACTCAAATTATCTAATCGATTAGCACTCGCAAGTTTCCGAAAAACGCATGAGCTCTCTAGACGTTTTGGAGAAACTCAGTCAGCATATTCCCAACTACAAATATGCAACGGACTTAACCATCCTTAGACTATCTGAGGCAAAAAAAAATGCATCGGAAGTGCTGAACGAATTTTACAGGAAAACCCTCAAAATTAAGACAGAATCACTTGTGTCGATGATTAACTTAGAGCTAGAAATGATAAACTATGGAAAATCAGTTATCGAATATTGTTGGGAGAATAATATACCCATCCTCGAAGGTAGAATGGGATGGGCCGGTGATGACTACAGGTACTGTATCAAGCAATTGGATAACTCAACCACTAATGTAGTTGCCAAAATCTATGGAAGCTTCAACGATGACGAAAGTAATATCCGCAAGTATAGTTTGTTCGAGGTCTTCGAGGGGAGGAACATCATCAACGAACCGCAGTCGATCATCGATGCCATCTCTAAACTTGATACCGTTGTAACTGATGGCATTCCGGAGTTCGGTGATGTTGTAACCAGCTTAGAAACTGATCTGCACAATGTACTTTCAGTTTACACTTCTTGTTTAACTGAGGAGCTTGCTGATGTAATACAAGAGATAAAAGACTTAAAAGTTGAAACCGAAAAATGTCTCAATAGCCTTCCTTCGGAAGAGAAGTAAGCCGTTGATCTCCAGTTCATGAGCTGATGGGTCGATAGGTAGGGGCCAGGTGTAGGAGCTGGCTCCCTGGCGTCGGTAGCATTAGTGCTCAGCACGGAAAACAAGATCAACGGAAAACAAATCATAGAAAAAAATGTCTGTCGGCTATAAGGCTATTTGGTTAGTACACTGAGAAAAAAAACCATATAAAGTTTATGTGAACTCATATAGATTTTTGCAATAGTACCTCGCTAATACCAACCGGTGGAAACTAACGATATTAAATTGGTTCACTACTTGACTAGCCTATCGGTCCCAAGTACATCTATTAGCGTACTCCATTCTAGTTGAAATTCTAGTACTACACTATGTTTGTTTTGATTCGCTATTAAAGTTTGACAAATAAAATGAGGGGTTCGTGGATTTTCTTATGTTTCAAGGGGTGCAACGATTGGCTTGCGACCGAAGATAGTACCACAGCTGAGCCAAAAAGTTGAGCACGTTTCTTCAGGATCTTCTGGTCTTAGAGTTACCTCTATGCTAATACCATGTATGTGTTAGACACATAATCTCAATATTTTTTTTTTGAATATGAATTTTATAAGTGATGACTTTAACTTTTATTTTAACTTTCCCAATCATAATCTTTAATATTTATCTTTTAATATGGAACAATAAGACGATTAATATTTAATCGACAATCTCTTCAATTTCATTTGCTTGTTGGAATGAAATTTATATCCTGTAATAGTAGGTTCCGTATTTTATGCGTATTCATTCATAAAAAAAAAACATTTCATTACCAAAACTACATTATGCAGTTATCAGAAATATGGCAAACATAAAATGAATATTAAATACAGCTACTATTATTTAATGCACCTCTCTTTTAAAGGTATAATTATAATTTAGGTTTTGGACCTAAACTATAAAAAATTTTTTTTTTTTTTTTTTTGAAAATTATTATGATAGCATTTATCAACTATTAGACAAGATTCTTTAGCTATAAATCCATTGTTACAAAATCGTTTTTTCCAAAATAATTGCTTGTTCTGCACATTGTAAACCATTACCGGTGGCTCGTCAATATCTTTCAAGTTCAGTATGAAATATTTACTGCTAACATCAACCACGTTATTTTCATTTTGCAGCGTTTGGTGGGGCAATGGAAGCGCAAGTTAATCCAAAGCCGAGGATAAAGGAAGGGTAATGGCTAAATAGTCTATGCGGACCACTTGAACGCCATGGGAAAAGGAAGCGATTGAAGAGGTCGGTTATTGGGAGGGGGGGGGAGGGGGGGTTTATTTTAAAGCAACCATCAAAATAAACAGACAATATATGCAAAGGCTAGTTGCCAGTTGCTTTAAAGGCTATTTGTCTTCCTAAGCGAAACCCCCGACGCATTTCGCGCCAAATCGTATTCGGAGCTGGCAGCACCCTTTCAGATTTCAATGAAACTTTCTGGATGTGTGGACCTTGACTAAATATGCCATTTTGTATACTTAGTTTTTCCAAAATTTATCTAGACTAACATTTGAGAAGGGCCAAACTTTTTCTGCCGATTTTTTTCAAAAAAATATTATGGAAAAATGACAACTCCTACAAAAATGTGTTGTATGGATGACTTTTAGGAAATTGTCCAAGTTATCGACAAAAAATACTGGAAAAAAATTTGAGACCTACACTGAAAAAAATCGATTTTAAAAAATTAAAGTCGATTTAAAAAAAATGGCCATGTTTGATTTGGATGAAACTTTGCCTCAAGATAGGTAATTGTGTTAACTAGCAACCGTTAATACATCGCGAGATGGACACTTTTAAGAAAAAAAAAGTTTTTCTCACAAAAACTTGATTTTTTTTATTTGCCATTTTCACACAAAACTAAACCAGTGAAGCTCAAAATCATCTCAGAATCCAATGAAGTTCAATTTGCGATTCAATTTTGTCAAATCAGCACTTCAGTTCACTTTGATTAATCGAGAATTTCATATGAAAAGGGCTCTTGATGCATTTCTCGCCAAATCGTATTTGGAATTGGCAGCACCCTCTTAGAGTTCAATAAAACTATTTGGACATGTAGACCTTCTCAAAAAAATATCATTCCCTTATTCTGTTGTCTACTACTGATGCAAAATTTGATAATATGTGAGAGAGAAAAGACAAGATTTTTCATATATCATTTATTTATATATTTTCAATGTTTTAAACCTATTTTCATACATGCTATTTTTTCCTTTTTCCAATCGTTAAATATTGTTGGTTCATCTTCTGAATTAGAATACGTTTTTGCCGCTACTTTGTCACCAGTTATAGGCACAAAACTGTGGAATTTCTGTGTGCCCGATATTGTCTTTGTGCTGTTATATAGTTCTTCGAGTTCTTCTGACATTTCGATGTACTGTTCAGTGGATATGTACTCGAAACGTAGTTTTGTGGTATTTTTATCTGTTTGTTCAACTGCCCAGTTATATAATTCTCGCGGAGTTGTTATGGTGTTTCCATAATCTCGAGCAAGACTAGCTCTCTTTGCCATTCGCTTGAGTGTGCCACCAATGGCATCACAGGGACCTTTTCCATGAGACGTTGCAAAAAAATGCCATTCTGCTTCTAATCCATGCTTTGACTGAAATCTACACAGACTAGCAAAGTTTTTTTTTTTATTTTTGTATTGTGATGCTGCCCCATCTGACATAAAAGTAATTTTAGAAAAATCTATCGATTGTTTAATAAAATCTATCATTTTTGAGATGAACAACTTAACTGCAGCTGTATCGTGAGTCATTACTTCTGATATGATAATGAAGCTAACATTTTCAAGTTTATTGTCTTTCTTATAATAAACTTCAAATTGATTTATTGTTGCTTGAGAATTATTCCAGTGATATCCTTGAGCAGCGTTTTGGATAATGAATGAAAAATTTTCAGAAAAATCACAAATTGCTAGAATTTCGCCTTTTTTTAATGATTTTTTTTTCCTTAGAAAAGATGACTGTTGTTTGTAAATAAAGTCATGAGTTATAAGTTTGTTAATTTTATCAATGAGATACGGAACAAATTCATCAACAGGCTTGATAATCGTTTCCAAATTACAACGATCAGTATTCAGCCACTGTTCAGCCAAACAACATCTTGTTTGCCATTTGATTCTAATAGCAAAGTAAGTTCCTCTTCAATATGTTCATTGGAAGCACACTTTTTGCAAGTACGAAAAAAAGCAATCAGTTGTTCTAGTAGAAATATTACAAAGCATTTTTTCTATTATTGCATCTTGTGACATAATTCTTAAACTGTTGATCATTAATTTTACATTTTCATGCATTGTACAAATACATACATTATGTATACCAGTAGAATCAAGCAAAATGCAATGGTTTGGTCGCAATTGTTTAAATACAGTGAAACCAATATTAATATCTTTATATTTATCAACAAAAATCATGTACGCTTCTTTGAGGGACATCATTAACAGGCGTTTTTGAACGTGCTCTTTTCGTCCATTTCTAAACTCGGAATCAAAATCATTTGTTCCGGGCATAGGTCTACTAATATCATTGTCATAAAAAAAAATCCCTAACTAGTTTTTTGTATCATCGTTGATCCCATACCCACTTCTTTTGTTGTTAACAAGCACTTTGTCAAGCAGTTTTATCTTGACTTTCTACCAGTGATTTCACAAAACTGGACCAACTAATTTCTATTTTTTTATGAAACGCACAAATGTTGGCTACTTTTCTCGAGGTTCTAGAAGAAAAAATCTCAGAATAATTTTTTATTTCAAAGTTCGAGTGGTAGTAAACGTCATTTTAAGTGCTCGAATGAAGTGGTTTATTCTGCTACAACTTTATTCACGGACCAAGACTTTGGCAATACTGATAATACTGTTATCTGATCTTTTCTGTCAGCTGTAGAGGAATTGAACTTCTCCTTTAGCTGCACAATTATTTCTTCGTGTGTCTCTACTTTGCTAATGTCTGCTGTATCTAGGCCAAATATATTTTTTCGCACTGATTGTGTAATTTCTAGAGATTTTATTGAACGATAATCCATGCTCCTCATGTTCCTCGATGAAATTGGAGATAAATTCAACGTTTCCACAAAGCAATTAAACTTCTCAACATTGTATGGACGTTGCAGATCATCTGCTGATGGAACTGACTCCAATGATGGAACCGATGGTAGCGTATCTGAAGGAAAGAAGAAGAAAAAATAATTAATAAGTGCAATTAGGAGGTTGCAGTTAAAAGTTGATAGAATCATCAGGATGACTGTTCTTACCTAGCTCATCTACGGATTGATGGCCACTCATTGATTGACCTGGATCATCATTATGCTGCTGCCCACTAGTTGACGGTTGGATATTTACTTCATTTCCAACCGATCGGCGTTTTTTCATAACTGGACTTCTATTATGAGATATCACGCTACGGCATGACTCACAAATGCTCATCGTTTCATCAATTTCGTGGTTATATCCCATAGAGTATATTTTTTCTACCATCGTTGACGATATGGCCCGTAACTTATTTCGGTTGCATCTCGGATTATTTATATTTCAATCCATTGAGCCTTAATTTACTACTTTGGTCCATGATAATAATTTTACTACAACTTGTCTTCACAATTTTCGTTATCAGATTGACTGTTGCTTGTATGAAATCAACCTTAGTTTTATAGTGCTCAAAGGTAGAATGAAGTGGTAGGTATATAATGTTAATGGTTTAGGTATAAATAACAAAAGGGCATATAGAATTATGATGCGATACGTTGACTTCCTAAATCATTGTTGATTCGAAAGAAGATCTCAATTTAAATTGTATTCATACCTAATTCTTTATGGATAATTTGAGCTAAGAATTCTAAGTTGCTATAAG